ACACACACACATACATACACACATATAAAAACACATAAATGGGTAACCTCTCACAATATGTGCTTTTTACGCATGCATAAAATGCAAAACGCATAAAAAGCAACTACAATTTATTTAGCAAAATCTGTTTGCAAAAATCGCTTTTTTTCACAAAAATACAAATGAAAATGAAAATTCAGCGAACAGCATTTATCAACAACAAGCTTTAATCGGTTGTTGTTTTTTGAAGCAAATGGCAAACTGTTAGCTATCAGAAACATACCAAGAATAGGCATCCCATGTTAGTGCTGTCACCGAGAAAAAACGCACGTTTTTTGACAGAAAGAGAACATAATTAGTAACAATCTCCCTTCATACATTAAAAATTTTCTTCCAAAATTTGCCAAAAAAAAAAATTCAATTATTCATAAAACTTTGTTATTTATACAAAAAATTCAATTTAAAAAAGAAATTGCACTGATACACTGACAATGCGAAACATTAAGAAGCACAGAACAGGATAAAGAAAGCTTTGTCGAGAAACCTGTTTCTGGAAAGATATGAAAAATATCGAATGGCCGTAGTGAAAACGAAAGACAAGAAAAAATATACAATAAATTTACAATACTACACAAAAACTGTCCAGGTAAAACTCACAACAGCATCGAATCAAATCCTAACTTGACCTAACTACTACTACTTTAAGTCTGGATTATACAAAATGATGATCCAAGCTAACAGCGCTTTTAAACACCAATGCTCAGGATACAGAAACCACATACCTTTTCGTTATTTTTACTCACAAAAAGCTAAAATGCTGTCGTATTAAAAACCGAGTACCTAGTGAGGGTAAAGAGATGGACCGAAACATTTCTTACCAATTTTTTAAAAAGTTTTTTGATAAAAATAATCGTTAGGAAATTTAAAAATTATAATTCTTTTTCATTCCCTCCTTTTCCTTTTTCCATTTTCTTTACATTATTTTCTTTTCAACTAATTAAAATTTCCAAATTTTTATCTTTCAAATACAAATTTCAATAATCTAGTAAAAATCTGTGTGACAGGCCTTGTCATATCATATAAGCTAGTAAAAATATCACAAAAATATCACAGAAAGAGCAATATTATCACGCAAAAATTCAATAACAGAAGATAATATTACACAGAAATACCGTATAAGTATCAGTATACTGAATATCCTGAGGAAAATACACCGGAAGGCATGCATCAATCACAGAGGCGAAAAATCACTAGATTTTTGGACAATAATCGGGGTGAGTTAAAACAAAAAAAACCGATATGACAGGAGGACAAAAAACGTGATAAAGCAAAAGAAGAAGATGTAGAAACTGCTGAAGAATTTGATAAATGACATAATAAGCAATAAGTGGGTTTTTATCCAGTGCGGACATTTGACCACTTAAGGGTGCGCAAGTAGTCACATCAGGCTCTACACACTGACCAACACTGACCAATTTCTTGCATATTTATCAAATATCACATGTTTCTTCTGTCCCAATAGCTTTTACTTTTCTTCATTTTCCCCCCTCTCCTCGCATTCTCTTTTCCTTAATTCCCACCGCAAATCTATCACAACCCTGACATTCCAACTTGGAATGACTACTTTTTGGCTACGCCTCTATGGCCCTTTCTTTTTTATTCAATTTCATTGCTCCATATGTGTATAAAGCTAAGGGATGAAACACAGGCTGCGTCATAAAATATCTTCATACACATGACATTCAAGTGAAATCCTTCTATTCTTCTATTTCGTGCCTCTAATTAAAATGCTTCAATTTTACTACATCAAAATCAAATTCCCTTCTGTAATCACCCTAACCCAAGAAGTACAGGCAAGAAGCGACCGTTTTTTCTACCTCAAAATCAAAGTCAAAGTCAAAACCCCTTCATTCATACTCATTTTACGTGTATGAACGATTCCTACACAAGCTACTCGAGCGGATTTTTTCCGCGAATATGACTCAGTGATAAGCGATAATGCATTGATTATTATCAATACAACAAAAAGCACATCATCCTCAATGAAAAATCTATAAACAGTACACGCAAAAAACCCGATTAAGCGAAAAAAATCCAAAGCTGGCAAAAAAGCTGAAAAAATCTGTCCTCAACTACAGACCTCTCATTCGTTTTCTACACGTGCCTTTACCTCATTTTCTGCAACACTCAACTTTTTTCCCACGTCGGGCACTTCTGAGGGTTTCTCCTTCATGGTCGCGGCCTGTTTTTCATCCGTTTCTTCAAAAATTTCTTGATTTTTCTCCATTTCCACACATCGTGCTGAATCACCTGGCTTTCTTTCTGACCCCTTTTCTTCAGAAATTTCTAGTTTTTCCTCTATTTCCACACATAGTATTGGATCATCTGTCTTTCCTTCTGACTCCTTCACATCGTTTGAAGCATGAGTTCTCAAATCGCTAACTTCAGATTCTGGTATATCAATATGATTGCTCTGTGCTTCCAAAACACCAGCAGAGGTGTCTAAAGGAAGACCTTGTTCATTCGTCTTATCACTTCCATCAGCGCTGGGTTTCGATGTTTCCACAGTTTCGTCAAAATTTGGCATCGATTCGTCACGATGTGGTGTAACTCGAACACCAACAGCTGCCAATACTTCTGTTAATTTGCGAGAATAATCCAAATGTCCTTTCACCTAAAAAACTGGAACATGAAAAGCGCAGTTTTCGGCACTGTTTTACAAAAAAACAAATTTTTCAGGTTTTACTTCAGAAAAACGTGCTTTTTTTAAAAAAATCATTGCCTAAAAACATGCAGCCGCCAACTGAAGGGTCCGGCATAGCTGCGCTGGTTAGCAAAAGCATTTCAGTAATATCACTAACATGGGATATTCATAAACAGTTACTTAAACGATCCTAACATCTTGCTCTATAGGAAGGAGACAGATTTTAACGGGCCGCGTTCGGACAGATTTTTCATATCGTTTATCCTTTAAGAGACATAAGACCGTAGTAAGGTAGATTTCTACATTTACAGCTAAGGGATGAAACACAGACTAACTACATCGTAAAATGTCCTTCGGCACATAACATTTAAGACCAATCCTCCCATTTTACTATTTCTTATGCCATGTTTACGTTTACCGTTTTTTTACTACCCCCCCCCCCTCCTTGCTAAAAATTACACAGCGAAAATCACCTATCAACCTTAACAGTGACTGAAATTACATCAGGTAACTTCTGCGAAATATCCATAATTTCTTAATGCTACCCTGATCTGGGGAAAAAACAGCAAATCCGCCAAGCTATTTTACTAATTTTTTGTAAGAAAAGTACAAAAACGAGGAAAACGAACAATATGTGAAAGGTTGAAATTGACAATTTTTCGTTCTTTTTTACATTGTACAGGTCCTGTGCCAGCAATTGTGAATTGCACACTCATTGTACGATAAATAAACCTAAAAAATTTATAACTCATAAAACTAATAAAAACAAACATTACCCATATTTGAACTCAAAATTGAATATGCACCCAATGATGGTACTCAACACTATCCGAATTTCGAACATGTACTCAATTTCCGAATATCGAATAAGTACTCAAATTCGAATATGTGCTCAATATCATCCAAATTCAATTTCGAATTCAAATATTTTTCAACTAATATAGTGTTAATAAAAGAAACCTTAACAACCAATCCGTATTACAATAACCATTGATGATTCGTCCACCAACCAC